ACGGACAGTTAGCTCAACAGCCATCGAAAGCGTATGGCACACAAAATTGGGAACACTTCAGACGGCCGTTCAGCTAACTGTCCTTGGACATACATCTGAGGCTGAGACTAGGATGTTACTGGCCCAAGTCAAAGGAAACAAGCTCAGGTCTCTGTGATATTCTGGTCTTAGCACACCTCTCCTCAACAAGACAGATGGCTTCAATTGTCATTGCAGTTGGTGGGGGAAAAGGTACCAAAGTTTATGACTTCTGGTTAAACATTTGTTCAAATCTTGCCTCACAAAGCAGAACAAATAAAGAGATGGTGTGATGGTGCTGCAAAATGCAGAGCGCTCTAATAACACTCTACGCTCTCTAACCTTCCCTGTAACCTCTTGACTAATGGTGTGTACCATAAAGGGGATTAGAGACAATGACTCACACTAAACACCCACCCACCCACACATACACATGCTATCATCTTCATAAACCATGGCAACTATTTGTATCAACAGAGATGCACACAAACAGCCCACCCCTTCCTCACATGTCAAAACAGCTGGCGGGATTCATGGTCACAAACAGTGGCCTCAATATGTTTTAGGACTGCTTGTTTTACGACATTCTTGGACTGCAAGTGTGTCATAAGTGTCGAAAAAACTTTTTGCGGGCCACTGTTACATTATCTTGTGGGTCTTTTTCCCATCCATGCTTACTTCTGTTTTTTTTTTCTGATTTTTCCAGGAGTCCTCCGAAGCACTGAATTGGCATCAAAGTAATGAGTAGAACAGCCCGAGGGAATGGTTCTTAACTAACATGTTAATGGGCCTACCACAATGCTGTGTGTGTATTTGGAGAGGGGAGGCAGAGCGTGAGAGGTTTGGGACCCTCCTCTGAGTCCAGCGCAGCTTTAATCAGCTCTGCTAATTACCGCCCAGTTCTCGTGTGAAGCCGCAGTCCTGTGAGTATCCGGTTATCTTCATACAGTGCTGAATGCAAGCAGGATGTGAAGGACTTAAAACAGACAACTGACCCTAATGCGCTGTCCGAATGAACAGTAAACACGAAAAAGCTTGTTTGTGGCAAGCTTTAAATGGACAAAAAGTGGCTATAGAAGTCAACATGTCCAAATATATAATATGATATGGATTTAATGATTATAGTTTATAAGCCAATCACCACAAACCATGGTAATGCAAGCTCAAACTGCTTTGCCATGATTAATTGCCTTAATTTTTTTGGTAAAAAGTAAAAAAATGTAAGTTAGTAGCATCAGTACTTTTAGTTTCTCCCCAACCTCATTGCGTGTGGAGTGTGGTCACATTGGTCATAATACTCAAGTTTCCTCCAGATGTCTGTGCCATTAAACCAGATGCATTATTATTCAGCTAGCTGTAACACAGTCAGCTGGTCACACTTTATATTAAATGTCTTTTAATGACTACAATGTACTTATTGTGTTCATATTGTATTGAGAAACACTTTTGCTGCTATTGAGGTGGTAAATGGGTAAGGTTTAGGGACAGGTGTAGTGATATGGGTAGGTTTAAAGCTACACTGTGTAACTCTTTTAGTTTATTCTTAGCTAAAAACACTTAGATCTTTCAAAAATATATCTGCTCATTAATGTATATTTACTTTGTTCAAGTAATAAAGTATTCTCGTGAGTGTATAATATGCCATTGAAAATACATACGGGTAAGGGGTTCTAATGTCGGTCGCCATGTTGCCCCTCCATCTTGAAAGTACATTAGCCAAAGAGGGACATACCCGTTAATTCAAGCTTCGCCTTTCGTGTTTACATTACGAGGTCGAACTGGAAGCCATGTTAATCTTGGACTACATTGCCCACCGTAGGAGTTAAAACGAAATCGGAATTGAGAGGAACAGAAACTAATATTCACTGGATGGTCATATACCTTTTCACCGCTATGGGGGTAAAAATCACACAGTGTAGCTTTAAGGGTGGGTTAAGGTGCAATGGAAGGCTCAACAGAGTAATTATATATGTAATTACAGGAATGAATTACAGCTATAATTACATGCAGGTATTTAAAAAAAATAAGTGCAATGTAAAAACATGTAAGTGCATTGTATCAAATCATTAATTTAAATGTAAGTACAAACCCAATTCCATAAAAGTTGGGACACTGTACAAATTGGGAATAAAAACAGAATGCAATGATGTGGAAGTTTCAAATTTCAATATTATATTTAGAATACAACATAGATGACATATCAAATGTTTAAACTGAGAAAATGCATAATTTTAAGGGAAAAATAAGTTGATTTTAAATTTCATGGCATCAACACATCTCAAAAAAGTTGGGACAAGGCCATTTTTACCACTGTGTGGCATCCCCTCTTCTTTTAATAACAGTCTGCAAACGTCTGGGGACTGAGGAGACAAGTTGCTGAAGTTTAGGAATAGGAATGTTGTCCCATTCTTGTCTAATAAAGGCTTCTAGCTGCTCAACTGTCTTAGGTCTTCTTTGTTGCATCTTCCTCTTTATGATGCGCCAAATGTTTTCTATGGGTGAAAGATCTGGACTGCAGGCTGGCCATTTCAGTACTCGGATCCTTCTTCTACGCAGCCATGATGTTGTAATTGATGCAGTATGTGGTTTGGCATTGTCTTGTTGGAAAATACAAGGTCTTCCCTGAAAGAGACGATGTCTGGATGGGAGCATATGTTGTTCTAGAACTTGGATATACCTTTCAGCATTGATGGTGCCTTTCCAGATGTGTAAGCTGCCCATGCCACACGCACTCATGCAACCCCATACCATCAGAGATGCAGGCTTCTGAACTGAGCGCTGATAACAACTTGGGTTGTCCTTGTCCTCTTTAGTCCGGATGACATGGCGTCCCAGTTTTCCAAAAAGAACTTCAAATTTTGATTCGTCTGACCACAGAACAGTTTTCCACTTTGCTAGAGTCCACTTTAAATGAGCCTTGGCCCAGAGAAAACGCCTGCGCTTCTGGTTCCCGTTTAGATATGGCTTCTTTTTGGACCTATAGAGTTTTAGCCGGCAACGGTGAATGGCACGGTGGATTGTGTCACTGACAATGTTTTCTGGAAGTATTCTTGAGCCCATGTTGTGATTTCCATTACAGTAGCATTCCTGTGTGTGATGCAGTGCCGTCTAAGGGCCCGAAGATCACGGGCATTCAGTATGGTTTTCCGGCCTTGACCCTTACGCACAGAGATTGTTCCAGATTCTCTGAATCTTTGGATGATATTATGCACTGTTGATGATGATAACTTCAAACTCTTTGCAATTTTTCTCTGAGAAACTCCTTTCTGATATTGCTCCACTATTTTTTGCCTCAGCATTGGGGGAATTGGTGATCCTCTGCCCATCTTGACTTCTGAGAGACACTGCCACTCTGAGAGGCTCTTTTTATACCCAATCATGTTGCCAATTGACCTAATAAGTTGCAAATTGGTCCTCCAGCTGTTCCTTATATGTACATTTAACTTTTCTGGCCTCTTATTGCTACCTGTCCCAACTTTTTTGGAATTTGTAGCTTTCATGAAATCCAAAAGGAGCCATTATTTGGCATGGCAATTCAAAATGTCTCACTTTCAACATTTGATATGTCATCTATGTTGTTTTCTAAATATAATATTGAAATTTGAAACTTCCACATCATTGCATTCTGTTTTTATTCACAATTTGTACAGTGTCCCAACTTTTATGGAATTGGGTTTGTACATAGTAGATAAAGACAGCTAATATCAAGTGGGACCCAGCAGTTTTACCAATGTAAGATTTCCCTGCTGCAATTAACTGACCTGAAATGGAAAACTGGCAATACTAGAAGACTTTCTGCACATCAGTGGCACTTTTGGCAAGGCTGAGAATGCAAAACTAATGTGTGTTGCATTATGAATAGCATTATCACATTTCATTTGTCCTTCTGTTGTTTGTTATCCTTTCAGGTAGTTTCTGCTGACATCTACCAAATATTGTTTTATCTAATTCATTATTTGCAAAAATCTGGCACTGTTAACAACAACACCTGACCATCTGGAATCAGAAGTGTTTTCCAAAAGAAGAGCAACAGTTATACAGTCACATTCCTTCATTCTGTTCAGTAATATGATGAAGGCTCAGACCGGTTTATTCCTTTAGACGAGCCCAAGCCTCTTTAATTATCCATTGATAAAGTGCTCTGTTTAGTTTACTGTGCTCTGTGGTTGACTGACAATGACCACTGGAGCTGCGGACTGGACAATGAAGAGGCTTCTGGGTAATTCCATCATCAGCAAGGTGAATATGTGTCAAAACTTTGGGGTCAGTAAACTGGAAATTAAGATTATGAGATAAAAGTTATAAATCTGACGTTAAAAACAATGACATAAAAAGCCAAAACTATGAGATAAAAAGAAAATATTTTGACTGTCATAATTGTTATAAATTATCACATGTTAAGTCATAATTATAGCTTTTTCCACATAATTTAGACTTTTTATCTCAAAATTATGACTTTTTGTCAAAAGGATTAATGAATTTTTGTCAATATTTCAACTTTTGTCATATTATGACTCTATTTTCATAATTATGATTTACCAAAGCATGTTTTTTTTTCTTATGTGGCAGAAACGGCCTTTCGTGTTAAATTGATCGAAAGTGACAATAAAGACATTTATAATGTAAAGATTTCTATAAAAAAAATGCTGTTCTTTTGAACTTCTCTTCATCTAAGAATCCTGAAAAAAAAATAAGAGTGAATTTTCTGTCATCATTTAAAAATCTCAACATGTTTGTCAATGTTGCTTGGATCACAGCGTTCTCTTTTTGTTGTACAAAAGTAAGAAAGTCATACAGGTTTGGAACGACACGAAGGTGAGTAAATGATGACTGAATTTTCATTTTTGGGTGAACTATCACTTATTGTGAAGACCAAAAAACAGTTACTTACGTTTCTGTCTTGTTGGACTGCCGTCTACAGGGGACGGTGTTACTGAGGCAGGTGCCGGTGACAGGATCCACAGCTTCTACGATCACAAAAGGCCTTTCCTCCAGTGTGGCGACTGTCAAGTGACGGTTGTCAGACACAGGCTCCAGGAAGGTCCCATAACGGGGCCAGACAGGGTACCTCGTCTGCAGGATACCATACTCATAATTCCCTACCTGTTAAAAAGAGAGACAGGCTTTAAAGTGTTAGAGATTATGACTCTTCCTTCCAGCTTTAAGCTGTTGAATTTATTCATGAAGTTTTACAAATAAACATTTATACACAACATTTTATGCATTCCAAGTATCTGAATGCAAAAAATGCAGGACATCAGGAAATGTATTCATTGTGCAGAATTAGAGGCTTTGGTTAATTTCCTCTTGAATGGGTTTAACACACATCATTGTTAGTCCTGTTAGAGCAAAGACAAGACTCATGAGAAAAATGCCATATACTATTTGAAAACTTCTATTTCAACCTATCCAAGCAAATAAAAGCAATGCTGTATTTAAATTACTTCAAGCCGATGCAAATCTCTGAGCAAGCACTTTCCACCGGTTACGCTTTATTAGTTTGGATGCAAGTAATCTTTGTGTGATAATTATATTCATTAGATTTTATGGTGCTTAGCAATATAGACAAATTGTAATATATTGGCTAGCTCATTGCATCAACATATAGACCACAGCTCAGGGAAAACAAAACCACATAGTGAAACTAATTATTGTTTTTTTATTAAGCAAGAGACTGTCCACACTTAATCATCCAGTGCGAAACCAGTCCCAGGCTGGAATCACCCGTGCACTGACAAATACATATGTCATGCCCATAAATCACCATAATGTACAGTTCTTTGGGTTTCAAAGGATCAAGATAGTCCTAATATGACAGATTCCTAGAATCTGCCCTTCGGTGAGTCAAATCACAACCATATATGCCTTTATACAGGAAGTGCAACTTTACCAGCATGATCATTGAGGTGGTTGCAGTGCTAGTTATCATAGTGTTGGTAATCATACTGTTGTTTATCATAGTGTATTGTAAGATACTACTAATTATGGCAGTATGTCAGTTATCACAGTTAACAGTGTCAATCATCAAATCATAGTGCTGGTTATGACAGTGTTGCTTATCATATTGCTGGTTATCAAACAGCTAGTAATCAAAGCTGTTTATACTGCTAGTTTTAATAATCACAGTGCAAGTTATCATAGAATTGGTTATCATAGTGCTAGTAATCATAAAGTTGTTTACACTGCTGATTATCATAGTATCGATTATCACAGTGCTAGTTATGATAGTGTCAATTATAATAGTGCTGATTATTTCCCCTCAGAGTCTTGAGCCGCGTTTCCACCGCAATTACCAGGAACTATTTGTCCCGGGAACTTATTTCATAGGAACTTTTTTTTGCCCCAGACCGATTGCTTACTGCATTTACACTGCGGACTAAAGTACTGGTCCAGGGCGGGAAGATTATGTAGTGACGTTGAACTGTGTGCGACTGCTCCTCCCACACTGTAAAAAAAGATTTTTTGGTGAAGTAAATACGAGTGAAAAAAACCCCAAAACAATATAATTTACTTGAAAAAGTTAGTTCAGGCAAGAATAAAAAAAACTAAGTAAATTCCATATCAGTACTTAATTCAAGCGAGTAGAAATGAAAGTGAAAATATCAACTCAATAAAATTAAGTATGGGGTTCCCATTATGCACTGGACCTTCGGTTCATTTTTCACTGTTTTACAGCTGTATTTACACTGTTTTATCATTGATTTTTGTTGTCAGTATTAGTAACTTGCCATTTTGTGACATTTCGAGTTTTTGCTCAAACTTTTGCACAAAAACAACCCATATAATGTTACCGCCAGTGTATTGTCTACCAAGTATTGAGGTGTTTGCATTCGCATGATGCTTAACATCTGACATGATGTAATATAAATTACTTAGATGATCTAAGTAAAGCACATACTATCAATGACTAATAAAATTCAAGATTATTGTTTTAGAAATGTCATACAAAGGCAAAGGAAATCGATATTAATCGACCTTTTACTAGCCGAGTTAAAATTACTTACAAGTGGTAAAATTAAAGAACAAGTGGTAAGAACCAATCAGCATGTTCAGTGCCCAAAAGTCCCACCCCGAAAGTTCCCGAACTCTGAAAAAGTACTACCTCACCAGCAGGGACTTTCTGGTGGGGAAATGTTACCTGGAACTTCATTTAGACCCTGGTTCCTGCGGTGTAAACACACCGAGTACCACCCCAAAGTTCCTGTGGAAGGTTCCTGCAGTGGAAACGCGGTTTTGGTCTTGGTCTCTTCCCCTCAGAGTCATGATCTTTTCTTGGTCTAAACACACACCAGTCTTGATTGTCTCAGTTTAGGTGGTCTTGACTACAATACTGCTGGTCAACTTATTTTTCTATGAAGACGGGAGAAAACTATTTATATTTGCTTTATATGTAATTAACAATCCAATCTAACTATATATTTTTTCTATCTTGCAGTAATTCTCAAAGACACAGTGGAGAGAGTTTCTCTAGTTACAGCGTTACTCTGGATTACAGTACAGCGACTGAAGAAAGGCCAGTCTCTGGCACCTGAGGGCACCTTAGCAGCTTTTGACAAAAAGGTGTCATTGGAAGATGACACTAGCTAAGTAATAAGGTAAGAGTTATCACCAGCTTTCAGCCTCACTGTGTTTGAAAAGTACAACCTTCTGAATAATAAATTACCTGCACAGTAAATTACATCAACAAAGCAAAGAGGACTGGAAAGGAAAAGCACTCTTTCAGCCCGGCGCTGAAATAGATGTGCGAAACAGACATAGATAAGAGCTGTATATCTCCCACCTGAGGCAAAGGACGATGGACTTTACCCTGAGAGACAGATAGCCAATGAGAACTGAGAGTCACTTGTACAACAGAGAGACAATCCATTTCATTAAAATAAGTTCATCATGCCTGTTGTCGTCACGCACCAAGACACCTTGTGAATATGTGAGCAGGATGAAAGAAGCCATTGTTTGAAGAAAGTAAAAAAAATATCACCCTTTGTTTATCAGGCTCAAAGAAAGAAGATAAGAAAGACATAGTGACTGCAACACAAGGGGAGAAATCTGTTAAAGAAATAGTTCACAGAAAAATCAAAAGTCTGTCATCATTTACTTATGACTTTCTTTCTTCCATGGGACACAAAAAGACACTTGACGCTTGCCCATTCCCTTGCAATGGGGAACTGGTCTTTTAAGCTACCAAAAGGATGCAAAAGCTTCATTAAATGATCATCAAATTGCTCCATAGAACTTGTCAGTCATCTAAATCCATATGATATCTTTGTGTGAATAATGTCATAATTTACTGAAAATCATGAACATCTAGCTCTTTTTGGTGTGAGAAATGAGAGAAGTAGGCATTTCTGATTTTTGAATGAATCATTCTTTTGAGTTGAATCAGTTGATCTGTATCATAAAACTTGTCTAAAATATTCAGAATAGACTTAAATTTTAGTCTCTTTTACACACAATGCTACCTTATGAATTCAGAAGATTTGGAAAATAGCGCACATCACATGGACTACTTTTATGTTATTTTATGATAATTTTAGATCCTTTTTTTTAGATTCCCAATAGAAACGAGCGTCAGAGTCTTCATAATTATTCCATTTGTTGTCCACGAAAGAAAGAAAGAAAGAAAGAAAGAAAGAAAGAAAGAAAGAAAGAAAGAAAGAAAGAAAGAAAGAAAGAAAGATAGAAAGAAAGAAAGAAAGTCATATGGGTTGGGAATGACATGAGGGTGAGTAAATGATGACAGGATTTATTATTTAGGGGAGAACTGTGCCTTTAAAGCACTAGACAGCAGTGAGATGGAGAGCAACATCAAATATTCCTCATCAAATTTTTGTAGTATCTCAGCTACATCATCTACATTTTTATAGCTCCATTGAGAAACATATGTGACTAAGCTGATATTTAAACTAAATCCGATAAGTCTAAGTTATTAAAGAGCTACATCTGAGCAATAGCTTTTTTCCAATTTTCCTCTTGTAGGACGTTATTTATTGGTGCATGCATGGTTATTAAACTGAAGAAAAAAACAAAACAAATATATTTTTGGATGTTTTGAGAGACATGCTCTGTATCAATAATCAGTGTAAAAAATGACAGAATCCCATTGTCATCCAATTTATTCCACCTTGTTTTAAAAATCGGAAAGCATTTGATTACAACAGTCCACATGTTTTCAGCACAGCGTGGTGATTGTGTCGAGCCTGGCACCAAATCAGAATGGCCGACATCTCATTTGGAGCTTTGTTCTATTTTTCATGACTTTCTCTCTCAGTGGTGATCCAGACGAGCATTGCATCACTCTCAGTTCCTGATATAACTTCACTCCACCTGGAGGACAAAAAGCGTGGCCTATGCCAGGGAATTTTGGGCAAGATTCCACACCCAATATGAACCGAGTCCAACCTGAAGAAAATATCAATAGCGAGTAATTGCTTAAAGACAGCTGGACGCAATTTTTTGAGGCGCTGAACCAAACAAACAGTCATTATGGGCAACTTTCCCACTGGCTTTGTAAACAGTTTACAAAGCCAGTGGGAAAGTTGCATGAAAGTAGTCACCGTAAAATTGTTGTGCACTTTTCCATGAATGATTTTGAGGCAGATATGCATTTACTTTTGGAAGACGGGCCAAACACAGTGACTTTGCTATCATTCATGTTGACCACTATAAAAACGCAGGCCATCTGATCTGACAATAGTTTGGTCATAAAACCAGACGGTGCACAGAAGATGTCATCCAGCTCTGGTAAAAACATAATTTTTTAAAGGTGGAATACCTAAGATTTAGATGCCGCTAGAGGGCGCTACATTCAAAACAACAACACCGGCTTTGCTTGATGACGACGTGGAGAAACGCGGAATAATGGGAACTGTTGTTTTCAACTCCACCGTGGATAAATCAGTAAGACGGGAATCGAAAATTAGTTGTCATGGATGAGGTAAAGTTCGATTTCTATAAATGTTGCGTTTAATGACCTGCTTGTTTTTCATTAAACTGAAATAACCGCAAGAAAAGTCAGGTTTAAAAGTAAATTAGTTATCACAGATGTTACTGTACGAGTCACTGGACGAAGTGACTTATTTTTGTCTCAAATCGTTGCTAAAAGATCCTGACTTCGCCCTATGCTGCAATAGGCATTTAGTTTTGCATTCATTTACAGAAATCAGCTGCTTGAATAACAATAGCTGATGTTATTAGATTTTTCAGGTGAGATTCAATTCATTCAGTGAATGGATGCTCTGAGGTAAAGTTTTTAGAATGCAGACTCAGCAACGATTGTATTTAATTGTACAGTACAATCATAACATAGAACAGACATTATCTTCATTTCATGTCATTAAACATAACAATATTTCTGGCCATACACTGATGAGAAAGTGCGCGTCCGGTGTTCGATAACGTTACTGTGGAGTTGTCCTAAACGTGGCGCGGCGCTTCTCGTCCGGTGTACGACCCCCTTTACAGCCAACAGTTCACATTCCGAGAATAAATGAAAAGAATAATTGTGCTCCATTCCATAAAAATGCGCGAAACAAGCTGACGTTTGTTGCTTGATAGACGCTAACGCACAACTACAACTTCCGCATTTGTCCAGGACTACACGTATTACGAGCGGAAACCGAGGTAACGTGGATATGACGCAATTGACTGGCGACTCCCAGCTCACCCCTGCTCACACGCCCCGTTTCCTTGGTTAAAATATAAATTTTCTCGCGATTTAAACATTTTTTTTAAACATTTGGAATATTGTAAGTTATCATCTTAACTAAATATATAACACTGGCCTTGTGATTTTGGGATATTTTAATGCAAAAATCTTAGGTATTCCACCTTTAATAGGATGTTTCACCCCTTGCAATTTCCATTCTCTGAACATAAAAAGTTAAACTATCAAACTAATAACCCTAGGGTGTGCGTGCTGTTTATCAATGGCATTTTTTGAATCACATGAAGGCAATGAAACCTGCGCAAGAGCATTGAAATTGATGACACCATTGGTGGTGCAACCTTTAGAATAAAATATTCAAGCACACACACAAAAAAATAACTTTACCTTATCCCACTGTCTCCCGCGGTCCAGAGTGATTATGATCATGGCAGGGTTGACCAGATATCCATCACTGTTGAAGGAAAAGTCGGTGTTCTCCCATGACACATTCAGCATATGCCTGTGAAAAGTCAGACAGATGTTTTTAAAAAAAATACTTAGGAATCTCCACCCAGAACACCCAAGCAACTGCACAGCAACATACTAAAAAAACCAACAAGAATATCCTAGGAACTGCATAGTAACATAACAAGAACCACCCAGAATACCACCTTTAAAAGAATCTTATTATGCTGTGTTATGCACTCTTATGCTGTGATGCTGTTTGTTTAATTATTGTTTTTGCCACAACAATTTCGTGAAAAGCGCTATACAAATTCAATTTATTAGTATTATTAATTTTAGCATTGAACCTGAGCTGTTTTGTCTTTTTAAAATGGTAAATAAAGAGTGTAATTTCTCTTCATAATACAAGCCCCCCCCCCCCCAAAAAAAAAAAAAAAAACCTCATAGTATTTTTGAATAAAATATTCAAACTGTAGTCGAACAGCTGAAGTTTACACAGCACCCCAGATCAAGTGGAATATATTCTCAGAACAAACTCCATTAGCACTTTGAAATTCTGATACACTTTTGATTCTGAACATTGCATCACTGCCCATGTTATTGTAAATACCTGCTCTTATGCTCAAAGCATTATTGAATCAGATAATTACAGCCACATGATTCATCATGCACCATAATTGGGGGACGCTGTGGGTGGGATATTGGACAGCCTCATCTTATCTATACACATCACACACACACACAGCATCCCAGAGGAGGTGATGAAAGCCCCCTGAGTGTTATGGGCACGCTTAAGTGTCATCTGTGTGAAAAGCCAGCATAATCTGATAATCTGCTGTAATCTCATTAACAGGTAAAATGACTTAATCGCAAGAGCATTAAAATCAGACTTAATTAAAAACTGCCCAGTCCTGGATCAAGTTCATTTCAGTGGCATTTTATCTTTATACCAAAACTGAATGAGTAACGAGAAAATAAATCCTCTCAAAATCAAGATTATATTGTCAAGAAGTCATTCTACCGGGGCAATGTTAATAAATTCAGCTCTGTTCTAAAAACTAGTGAGCTGCCTGGCTGCCTACAAAGATGGCTGTTTCTAAGTCAGTATGCTAATCGTCATGTAACCTAATATGTGAGTGATTTGGAATGCTCTCCATAGCAGCTCAAATATAAAGTCCCTTTAAGGCAACAATTTTTTAACATCACCATATTTAGAAAATAGAGTCAAAATATTTGGGGGATTGAAGTCGAAACATTATGAGAATAAAGAATTATTAAACATTAATTATTTAATTAATTATTTTATTTTAATTTCGACTTTAATCTCAAAATATTTCGATTTTATTCTCGAAATATTGCGACTTTATTCTCAACATATTATACTCTTAATAATTTGACTTTATTCTCTAAATATTTTGACTTTATTCTCAAAATATTGTGACTTTATACTCGGAATAATTCGACTTTATTCTCAAAATATTGTGACTTTATACTCGAAATAATTCGACTTTATTCTCAAAATATTGTGACTTTATACTCGGAATAATTCGACTTTATTCTCGAAATATTGCGACTTTATTCTCTAAATATTTCGACTTTATTCTCTAAATGCTATGACTTTATTCCCGTAATTTAAATGTTTTTTTTTTTTTTACGGATTTTTATTTTTTTTAACAAAGTTACTTTGATTTAACTACGAGGGCACATGAATAAATAAAAAAGAAAAGATGTGCACGGAAAAATAATTTACAATAAACTAGAGTTGTCAAAAAGTACCGACTTCGGTACCAAGTACGACTACTGGTTCAACCAGACTCTAGTTCATTTCATTTCCAC